TTTTAATTCTCCAATTTGCACACCATTTTTCAATGGCTGAAATGTGTAAGTGCAGGATTTGAGATGCAATAGTTGGTTCATTATTGACAGACAACACACACGTGTCATCGGCATAGGTAGTGACGACGGTTCCTTGATATTAAAAAAAAAAATATCAGGTTTGGCTTTTATACTCTTAATAAGTGAGAGAACAACAGACCAAGATTCTTCTTCAACAAATAAATAAGTATAGAGCTAGTACAATAATGGATTAGTATAAGTAGTATGAATAGTAGTAAGCTTAGGTATGGCTACGTCTTATTGCTTAACTACTAAACTGGAGGTATATTTTTCAGTGGGACTAGCTAATCAAGTATAAAGTTAATTGTTACTTAAACAGTTCTGGTAAAAGTATGAACCTTTACCAATTGTCTGTAACGATTAACTATTAGATCGGATTCAAAATTTATACTCAGTTGATCAAAAAACATTAAACTTTAAAAGTGGGCTTAATGGTTACTTAATTGAACGGCCTAATTTATCCGACTAAATATAAATAAATCCTGATTTGGGATGCAGTTGTCATTTAGAACGGGGAAAGACCCTTTAGAAAATTAGCGTTTATTTTAACGAAAAACTAACCACTTTTTTTTTTTCATTCTCTTCTTCTAGCCTCGAGGCGGATAAAAATAAAAATTCTCCAGACAGTAAAGAGAGGAGCCCATCCGGAGTAGACTGGCTTTAGTTTTTCTCGGGCGCAACAGAGAGAGAAAGAGTGAGGGGGGGGCGCCAAAGAGGAAAAAAAATCTCGGGAAAAAACAAGAGGGATAGAGAAGGAAGCAATTAAAAAGAAATGAGAAGAGCGACTTCCTCCAGCTCGCTAATTACTGGTGGCTTCCGCAGTTTTCACATTACCTGACACAATTTTTTTGTTTTAATATCATTTTTTAGTAATATATGCCTGGTCGAAGGGAGGGGGGAACAGAGAAGAGAAGTGGGAGATTTTTTTCCGGTTTTATGTATATATATATATATCCCATCATACATTAGGCGTCCTTTTTATAATGACCCCTTCTTTCTCTCTGTGACGCCTTTCCGGTTCGAGGTAATTACACTCTTCTGAATGCCTCACAGATATTGCAATGTAAATTTTATTTAACTTCCCCTCTCTTCAGTGCTGGGCATTAACCGAATATTAGAATACGGAATTTACCTCCTTCGTTCCTTAGAGATTTCTTTTTAAATTATGTTTCCTCTCTTGAATAATATTCAAAAGCACTTAGTGAGAAAGAGAGAGTGAGAGAGACCATACAAATCCATTCGGTTAGAATACATATGTAAGGGAAAAGGAGAGAAATTGAAACATTTAAGTAATGGATTGGGATACCGTGATAAAAAAATAAAATCTGGTGTGGGGTACGCATTTCACAACATTCTTGTTGTCGCGTGTTAACAGTTAGAATTAGTGACTTTATAAAATATTTGGTGCCTTATTTTCTATTGGTCGAAGCAAGTACGGCCATCTTGGTTCGTCGAGAAACTATACTTAAATAGTTTTTCATTGTCATTTTGCAAAAAAACTATTAACTATCATGGTTTGGAATATCACATAAGAGGGGAATGAGGCCTATGGATTACTTACATATTAGTAAATTTACACACTTACCATTTCTACTTACGTAGTCTTTATTTATTTAATGAATAATTGAAAACAATAGAGATAAAGAGAGAGAAGTGAGAGAAAGGGAAACTAAATGTTAAAAAAAAAAAAAAAAGCATGAACAATGAAAGGAAGGAAAAAGGAAAAAAAAAAGGGGGAAAGAAATAAAAGAATAAATATATATATATATATATATATATATATATTACTAATATTAACTAATACTTCTGTATATATATATAAGTTCATATTTTGTCCTAAGGATAGAAGAGTATGCTGTGTATTTAGCAACCCAATATAATTGGGCAGCAATCCTTTATATTTTATGAAAATAAAGTGTTTCTCTCTTGTTTTATACTCTTTTCATTTACTAATATATCTCACTCTCTAAAATAGATCTGTAACTGTTACAGATACAAAAATATCTTCTGACAATTTAACATCGACTCTTATTGTACCTTGTACTAATTAATACAACTTTTGTATCTTAGTTTTTTAGGCCTGAGAAGACCTCGATCTAAACGTAAGCTATGAATAAATATTATATCAAAATAGTGTGTGATTGTAGACTCTGTGAATAACTATGGTAAAACTTTTCAGAAACGGACATTTACGGGGAATTAAAATTTGTCAGCTACAGAGAGATATCTGTTTCAGAGAAATTGAAAGTAAAACATGATGAAAAAAAAAAGAAGATTAAAATTATAATTAATATAGATTAAAAAAATTCGTATTTATTCAATAAACATTTTCATTTTTAAATTTAAAATTTAAATAATACAACAAAATGTTACGACTGCAAACCTTATTTTAAAACTGAATTCCATTGCATGTTCTTACAAATATGTTACAACTTATAGGCCTTCCCTAATTAAGGGGATACTTTTTGATTTTCATTTAGTTTTAAGTTTTTTTCTGTTTAGATAGATAGATACATAGAAAAAAAACTTTATACTGGGACTAAGTCCCTTCAGAATAACAATAATGTACAAAATAATAGAATATTACTGGCCTATACGTTTGAAACAATTAATAAAATTGATAAAATAAAATAAAAAGTAAAGAAAACCTTAGGTGCACAAGCTACATACAATACAGATAAAACTTTGTACAGAGCATTTAAAATTATGAACAAAACAATTAAAACTATGAACGAATCACTTGAACTATGAACAAAATTATATATAAGGGTTGAACAACATAAACATACACTTTGAGAAATGAAGAACGAAAAAGAGATACAGTGAGTTCATTTCATAAAATAAAAAAAAAAAAATTTACTTGAAAATATATATATAAATAAACAGTTAATTATAATTGAATAAAAAAAAAATGTATGTATTGAAATTCCTACGTCGATAGTATCAAGTATTATGATTATATGATTGCTACACAATAGTTTATTTTATCTTTTCTGTTTATATGGTATGAATGTGGTCTTACCTGCCTATAATTATTGTCCTAGTGACATAATATTATATTACATTATAAATAAATATAGAATTAAGAGAGTATGATCTAACTTACATACATAAATGAACTGAGTTACTATAAATTGAATAATAAAAAAATATTTGAAAATTTAAAAAAACTCCACCCCAACAGTATGTACTTCCATATCGTCGATCCAACTATCGAATTAACTGACTATCGAATTTAAAATCAACATTCTAATAACATTATCAATTCACTCCAAACAACGAGGATGTTTTAATTTCCACACTAATATGAGCTTTCATAAATTTTTGGATATTTTGCATTCGCCCTTTATACATATTTTATTATAATTACAATCGCTATAGTGCAGGATTAAAAATATTTCATATTCGGTAGTTTGTGTACTTGTATCGACGATATCTATTGGCTGAATCCATATGTTCGTTTGGTTCATGAAAGGTGAAATAAAACATTTTTTTTTCACAAAAAAGATAAATTTAATTCTATAATGTATTTGCTGTTTTCATTAATGACCTCTTGTCAGAATTTTAACAATTTCATAATTCCGATCTAGTAAACCATCTAGAGCTTAGAAACGAAAAACTGATCGAGATACGTTTTCACATTTCTCTCGTCAGCGAACGATTTACACTTGAGGGATTTTTGGAGGGACCGGAATAAGTGGTAGTCGGAGGGTGAAAAGTCTGGTGAATGCGGTGTTTGTAATAAAACATCCCAGCTAAATTGCTCTAACTTTTGCTGTGTGATTATTACGGAACTAGTAGGCCCGTGCGAAAAATTCACACAGCATATTGTTACCAAATGCCAAATTAATAAGAAAATAAAATAATGCAACGTATCAAAAGATAAATAAATACAATGTTATTTTATCGATAAATATAATCGACAAAGAAAACAAAAATTAATTTAAATCTTCATTTTTGTATGGAACCAATATGTTTACAAATTTCAGTAAGCTGTATCTTTGCTAAAAATTGTCCGATTTCAATGATGATTTTTTTTCATTTTGTAGGGAATTTAGTAATCTTTCATATAATCATAGGCACAACCAAGGGAAAAGTGTGTAATTTTTCTTCGAAAGTGCCTTCGAAATCGGTGGCTCAATCTTGAGATTCGGTGAAAAATTAACGATGATATGGCTTGCCGATCAAAAACACCATCGATAAATAATATAAACTCCTCCTCTCTTGATCATAGAGACTTCAAGTCGACGAAATGAAACATTTATTCAATGACAGTACTACAATTAATGTAAGATTGTGTGGATGCGAACGCTATGCCTTGCGTTATCTCTAAAATAGTACGTTTTGGGGCTTAAAATCGCAGGATCCGATAGTTCCGGGTCTTGCTGTACACATCAAAATCTTCAAGATCCAATTTGTCCCGTATCGATCTACAGACCTACCACCGTTCCAGTATTGAAACCCAACAAAATGTTTGCATCTACTTTATTTATTTTAGAAAGAAAAACAAAAGTGGAGAATATGATTCGCTAACCCCCCGTGAAATTCTGAATCCACCGGTTCCCCATTCAGGGTATTTGAGCATGACAGGAGCTTATATTTGGTACAAAACCGAATTCGAGCCTTACTGTAATAATATATATGTGGATTTGCTCAGGCGTTGTCATGGTGGAATAAAAAACCTTTGCAATTGACTAGTTATGGACGTTTCTGTCGCAATGCTTGGTCAAATTTCGTTAGCTGCGTGCATTAGATCTTCGAATCATTCATTATTTCTGGTGGAAGTAATTGGTAAAACAGAACGCCGCGATAATCCCACCATATTGAGAGAAAAATATTTTCCGGACTTCCGGGTGCCATTAGGCTGCTCGTCAGCAGTTCTCCACGATCTCCTGAGCACTACATTAGATCGTAGATAATCCACTCTTCCTCACCCGTCACTATTCGATTGAGAATGGATCCATTTCGTGCCGGTTCAGAAGAAAATGGCAGATTGATAATCGGTTGGCCAGGTTTCCCTCATTCACGTAGCTAAACTGTTTTAAATACCTTTGAACGGTTACAAAGTCTATTTTCAGTGTCTCCGCATTTTCTCGTACCTGTAGCGATCGGTCTTGTTCGATTAAAGCCTCGATATCACTCGAATTACCCTCGATAGGTTGACCGCTGCGGAGTGCATCTTCGAGAGTCGTATCTCTAAAACCAATTTTGACAAACCATTTTTGAGCTGTACCTTCTGTTAAGGCATCATCTCTGTATACCTTACATATCTTTTGGTGGAACTCCGAAGCTTGCTTGACTTTTTTGGAATAAAAATTCACTTTATCATTTGACACATTCACTAAGGTGTAGCACAAACAAAACTAATGCCAATGAAACCAAACACACCAGTTTTGAAGAGTGGACTTAGACTTTTCACATAAATATCATTATTGTCAGATAAGGCAAAGAGAATTCGAGATATTTGAAAACAATTCGTACTACTAACAAAAACCGAACGAACTTAAGAGTCCATCCAATACTGAAACATCTTAGTAAATAATAGAGAAATTAACATCTGCGAATATTTAAAATTGGTTAATTTTTGGTGTTTTCACATCACCAGTTGGGTGCTTTTCATTGCATATTACGGCTCCAGACTAATCTCAGGGAATTTAGGAGCTGCTGTTATATTATTTAATTATTTTTTAAGATAGGTTTATAGTAACAATACAATCTGCCACAATCAAATTCATTTGTTATTATGGTTCTATGCTGACATTCATTCATTTTTTTTGTCATTTTTATTGAGAGATATTACAATCTGTCACAATCAAGGTAATTTATAATTTATTGTTCAGAGAGCACATTCACACTCTATCAACAACAAATAATATAGAAAAACAATAATATTAAAATTAAATGAATATAAGCTAAAATAAATCAAATAAAAAAAAAAAATAAATAACTACCCACATATATGCATGCTTCTATACAATATCTAAAAAAATAAAAATTCATTCACTGAAGATCTTCGAGCCAAGCCTATTCCCCCTCTCGTGGAAAGAAAGGCAAGACTCTAGGAGATCCCAGCGCCTCTCACTCAGCCGCATTACTGGTATTAAAGACCAGTAGAGGCTGATCAGAGGCAATATAATCACACATATATGGCTTGAATGGAATATCTGGCCGATGTCAAAACTCCGATATATACTTATTCACAAAATAAATCTCAAAGGGCCGGTGCCGCTTCAACTTTTGAGGACAGTAGGGATAGGTGGTGCTGGATAGGGATTGTGCAAGGGAATTTGGATGATAGGTAAGGTTCTGATGAAATGTGGAGAATTTTTCTGGGATAAGGCCTCAGGCAAATGGGATATTAAGGTCAGATTGTAGGGTTTTGTTAGTTAAATAGAATAGAGCATCAACTATTGTTCGAATTACTTTAAATTGAAAGGATTGAATGCGTTTGATGTTAGAAAATTTTGCTGTCCCCCACAGTTCAAGTCCGCATGTCCACATAAGTTTCATGATTGTCTTGTAGATAAGTAATTAAAACACAAACTAAGAAGAAAATAAAATGAAGAAAACATAAGTAAACATATATAAATTAAAATAAATAGAAAACATCTTGTTAAAAGAAAAACAAATACAACGAAAAAATTAAAAACAAGAAAAGAAAGTTAAGAAGCTTTTTTAATGTATTTCGTTTCTTCTAGACGTGTGGGCCCAGTTCATCTTTCTGTCGAATATTAGTCCGAGATTACGTACTGTGTTCATCAGAGGAGTTTGGTTGTCGCCAATATAAACTGGTAGGCATGTGTCTAGTCGAAGTGTAAATGTTTATATGTTGCGATCTGTCATGATTCGATCTAATTTTCCAAAGTTAGTACCAAGTTTGTAAGTTCGGTAAGCCTTGCCTCGGACTATTGTGTTTGGTTAAAACTGCTTTATTTTCAGCGTAATATCATCCAATTGCTTTGTACGATTCATCTTCGGGATCCCAAGGGACGCCTCTGTTTCCCGTTTTTATGCAGAGTTGAAGAGGCTTTATCCTTCCTACCGTCGTAAGTATTTCCTGGCATCCTTCCTCTTTCAAGTCATCCAATCTCACCGTCCTTCATACATCTTTGAGCTTCTTTAATTCAAATCCTCCGTTCGTTCCCGCAATACCAGTTCCCAGTCTTCAAATTTATACATAAGGGCCCACCGAACCGCTGCTTTCGACAGATCGTTCATTATCCGATCCTCATCCTTATGGAACTCCGTCCCTCCCGTCATACGTCAATCCAAAACCCTTACTACCTTTAAAACCCGCCTGTTCAATCATTTCTTACCCATCCAGTTCCTATAAAATTGTAAATAGTTACTACTGTAAATATGTATATAAATTAATAGATCGTTCTTGATTATTTTTACTTCATGTTTGTTTTCAATTTTTCATTTTTTATTATTAACTGATTTAAATTAGAAAGTAACTTATAATTTCTTTTATTATCTTTTTTTTTATTTTGACTGTTTACTTACTCTATATTTTTGTTTATGTATCTTTGAGGCTCCTTAGCCAACATTTTTGTCTTTCTGTATTATTCTAAAGGGACTCGTCCCAGAATAAATAAAGCATTATTATTATTATTATTCAATGATAATTAATTAGTAAACATTTTGTTGCGACTTATTTTTCTGCTTAACAACAATTTTTTTTTTTTGAAATGTCAGAGAAAATCGATCGTCTATTTTTGTATAATTAAAAATAATAGCGAAGACAACTAGAAAGAGCAAACACTGAAGGAGATTTCAAAGCAATCAAATATTGTCCTTAATGACTATCCATCCAATTTCATTGCTTTTGTTTCCAGTTGTTGCTAGGCCGAAATTGCTTTGAAGGATAATTGTAATAGTCTACAGGGAACAATTAATGTCACTTTGATAACTCTCAATAGCTAAATAATAGTTGAAATTCTAGTGTTCGACCAAGCTCAATGTATTCCATCCATTAAACAATTAAAATTAGAATATAAGTTCAATATATATTTGTATGTGAATATATTTTTTAAAGATCTGAAAGCTAAATATCAATCTTGGACCGACGACTACCAATGTCTTACTATAATAAAAATGTTCTTATAACCCTGTAGTAATGATGAATACAAAAATCAGCTTCTGATTTTTGTAATTATTTGGCAAAATCAGTCAAGGAAGCTTTACAAAATAAAAATCCTACCTAAGCATAAATAAATGTATTGCTAATATAATTTCTTTCTCTCCATCATACAAAACTGGAGAAAAATGATTAAAAAAACTATAAAAAAAAAAACTGAAATAAAATGCGAAGGGATACATTCAATAGAAATTCAAATTACGGCAAACGGCACAGCCTTATACAAATGTATTGTCAAAAAAAAAAAATTATTAAAAAATAAACTAAACTAAAATCGATAAAAACTGATTTCTAAAAGGAATCAAGAACATTAAAGGTTCAATTAATCAAGGGTTCAATATTTTTAAACAATGGCATATCAAATATTTGATATATATCACATTACTTCTCAAATACATTGGGATTTTCCAATACAGGATTTTTCCGTTTTTATGCTTTTTCCGATCTTGTGATGAGAAAGCAGAAAAAGAGAAGGACAAGGTTACACTGATAGATCAATGTTTAGAGTTTATCTTTGTAAAGAGCGACTCCTGGTGGTATTGTCCCAAAACGGTCTTGGTCTTGTTCTTACATTTTCGCAAGACCGCCTAATTATAACAAAATCAAGATCAAGATTGAACAGTCTAATTGACTTATGCGTTGTTGAGTAGTTGGTTTTAATATTGATATTGATAGAGGTTCCCTAGTATCGGTGTCAAAACTATTCTTTTCCTTCGATTCCATTATATTTTGAGGTATAGGGCGGTGCTTCAACAATTTAATCTTGCATTAGAACTAAATATAGGCTTTTGTTAAGTTTTGTATCTGATCATAGTTTTCAAAATAATAACAAAAACATTAAGTCTTGGTCTTGCATTTTGCCGCCTATCTGTTGCAAGACCGCGACCAAGACTGGTAAAAAAAAAAATAGATTTTTGAATAAAAATAGTCACTAATACTTGAAAATTTTAGTTACTATATGTAAAGAATTGGTGTAACCAATATACTTTTTCATTTAATTCTTCTAATTTTTCAATAAGTCTTGGTTAGGTTTCTCATATCTAAAAAATTACAGTAATATCTCTATTAGCTAATAGGTCAGTGCAAGACTGTTGCGAGACTCTTGTGCTAGACCAAGACCAAGACTCGTCTTTAGGGTTCAGATTTAACGAGACAATTACATACCCCGAAGAGCAGTTTTTCCAAACAGTCCTAAGTATATAGTTTTTTTTTTAAATTGATAATTATGAGGATTTTCAAAAGCATGAACTAGAAAAGTTGAGACAGACTAATATTTTTTACTCCTTTCAACCAACTCTTGGTATTTGAATCTAAAACTTTTCTAATTGTAAGTCCTGGATGTTGAGCAGATAATCCAAGATTTTAAACACGATTCCACATTTTCCTTTTGAACATTTCCATATTTCTTAATTCCTTTGATCCTTATACCGCCTCGTTATCTCTCCCTTAGTGTATCATATTTGATTCTATCTCTGATTAATGAATAACATCAAAGACATCGAGGAACTTTTACAAAATTTTTCTCGGCATTTATCAGATGAAGGATTCTTCAAATAAAATATATTTTCTATAGACAGAAATATTTTTCGCCATTAATGTTTCATCAAGATAGTGTTATGAATATCTTAAAACGTTTTTATTTAATTTAATAAAAACGCCCAAGAGAGTCAGTAGAAACAGATTATTCTCAAGTTAACTAAAATTTTTCATGGCCTATTCCTAAATTCTAGTATCTTAATTTTAGAAATAAGTGGAAGTAAAATTACTAGACAGTATAATAATCATTTAAAACAGTAATTTATAATACGTTTTTTCTTTCCGTAATTTATGGGTTTTTCGCTACTGGTTATCTAAAAGAGTGTTTTTGTATACGGTAAGACAAAAAAAAAAAAAAAAAAAAAAAAAAAAAAAAAAAAAAAATACGTTTCATTATCATCAAGCCTTTCCTTTCCAAATGGCGGTCGAAAAACGTGATTCGCTTTAGACTGTAGCGCCAATATGGCTTTAACGATTATAATGAAAGCTTCCTAAATTTTGCTATAAAATAAAAAAAAAATCAACGAAATCGGACTGTTTGTTGCAAAGGTATATCATTTTAAACATTTAGTACTTTTTCTTTTACAAATTCAATTTTCTTTAATTTGGTTTTTGATAAATCGAAAACTTTACATTTACTGAGATAATTGGGGTGAGATTATTTCATTAAATGCTAGTGATATGTTACCTCATAAATTAAATAAAAAAATAAATTCTATAGTTATACTCTTAACTTAAACACTACATTCTTAACTTAAATACTGCACAAGCATTAATTAATGAAACACGAATGAGAGTGAAGTACTGACGGGAGCTACTTTAAATAAAAGAATTTAAATTCCAAGAATTAATTAATTATTTGTTGACACTATAATTCCATTCGACTTTCAAAGAACTACGTTCTTATTAATAGCTGCATTTGCCTTGACCGTAATCAAATCGGAGGGTCAAAGTTTTGGGAAAATTCGTGTATTATTGCGACGTCCAGTAATTTCACGTGGACAATTATATGTGGCAGCAAGTAGAGCACGTTAATTTCAAATTTTGAAGTTTATATTTCCAATGGCAATGGGCAAGGTTATGCAGAAAAGTTCTACATAAAAATGGATTTAAACTCAGTTGAAATCGCTAATTTAAATTTATTTTTCACTTGCTTAATCATGACATTGATTTATTGTGATAACGACACGCATAAATTATAAGTTTTGAATGATTCTATTCTGTATTACTTATAAATGATTTTAAATAGGTTAAGCTCGATTTTTAATTGAAATTGAAATTTTATTTATATTAATAAATGAGGATTTTTAAATCGTGATTTACTCTTTATTCATTGAATGTATTTTTTATTTAATTATGTTTCCTTCAAATTTTAAAAGGCTATGGTCGAATTTCGACTACTGGGCGAACACTAGTTATTATAAATGGCCTACATTTGTTAACAAATCCTGTTTTGTTTTATTAATATTGGTTTGACAGGAAGGTTTAGAGACCGGGCGCCATTTTTTACTCTCGGAATTTCCTCTACAGTGTGATCATATGATCTTGTGACGAGCCACCATATGGTCACTCATTCAAGTTCAGAACGGACCACCTCTAAGGTCGACCAAAATGGCAGTTCTTGCCCCAGCTCGATGCTAATCAGAACAAGAACTTTATCCAACTCGAGGAGGTTACTCTCTTAATGAGTAACTTCCTGGTCTGTGTGCTCAGGGCCTGTTTGTCTTTGTTTTATCGAGAGTTTCAACCACCAACAGCGACTGCTTTAATCATTAAACCTCTTCACTGTTCCAGGAGGGTATTGTGTCCCCTAAGGATAAATGGCAAGATCTTGAATGAGGTTGGGGTAACAAAGGGATTCAAGAATCAATAAGGGAAAAGTTACAACGTACATTTTTTTTCTTCTTTAGGATCAGCAGATGATAATTATGACAACCATAATATTAAGAAAAATTAAAAAAAAAAAAGAATAAGCAAAATATCTACCAAGTGGAGCCAATATAGCTTACTGATTTTATACAAAACATTTTCAAATGTAGTT